GCCACCGAAATACGTGAGGTCAGAAAATTCTTGTTCATTGATGTAAAACCTCTATTGTATGTACGGATTTGTATAATTTAGTATATATTTTTGTAAATATATTTTATTACTTTTATGTAAAACTTTGCTGTGACTATATCTGTGCCGTTCAGTTAAATTAGCCTTAAGTCGGGCTAGGCCCTATTCCCTTTAAAGCAAAATTTCATTGGGTTCCCAAACAATACTTTAACGTTTAACTATTCATAGATGTAGTTCAAGGTGCCCTTTTAATAGAAGTTGATTACATATTTTTTAACTCAAAGTCAAACATTCTAAAGTCACTTACGCTACTTTAATTGAACGGCACAGATATGAAGGTACGTATGTATATGTATGTATTTACATAGTTAAAGTTAAAGCGTGATTTTTTTTTATTCTTTATTACAGACATTTATGTAATTGTTTTACATCTTGTAGCGATACTGAAAATAGCTTAATATTTTCATTAAGGTAATTTAATAATAGAGTAACTTAGATTTCATAAACTGGCATGTTTTTGTGCGAAGCTTATAATTTAAGTACACTTTGATACATACATATTTGTAAAATGTATTATCGTTATCAATTATATTTCCTATGCGCCAAGCCTTGCTTCCAATTGTCTATATTTCATTGCTCTGCACCATGTTCTATCTTTCGTACTTTCACCTCTTCTTTACAAGAGACAAAAGCATTTTCTTCTTCCAGTCCTTTGAGTGATAGATAAATTCCGAAGCGTATTTTTCCACCAAATTCTCGTGCAATAGTTCGCAATGGCTCGTTGGTTTTGCAACCACTATGTTGGTCAATGCAAATCATTTGACAACGCGTACAAAATCCATCTACTTTAAAATTTACATCACCTATACTAATTTCCTCAAAAGAATTTTCCTCAAACGGGCTTGCAGTCTCGAATATTAAGTTTCCTCTAAAGCGGTCCACTGTCTGATCGATAGATTCCTTTTCCGATTCTACTTTATTGGCTAACCACCGAACCGATGCGCGGTTGATGAGTAAGAATTGCGCCTGATTTGCAAAGCTGATTTCCTTGGCAGCACCATCTTGGGAGCGGCGCTCGGAATTTTGCCGCACTAAACGCAAACCTTCCGTTTCCAAGCAGTCTGATAACCACTGCCCTGTTGCTTCCCCACAATCTAATCCCTCTACTAAATCATTGCAAACCTTGCTTTGACAGAAAGATGATTCAATACGTTTTGAAAAATTTGTTTCGTGCATTTCTAATGGCACCTGCACAGA